CAGAGATGCAAATTCTGTTACGGTTTACGACATCGCGACTAGCTCCATCGGTCGGCGGGCTGGCGCAACCGGTAGCACACACACAAGCATAAGCTCGTGTACGTGTAACTCTTTCGCAGAACTTCTGCTATCAGAGTCACACGTACACGAGCTTATGCTTGTGTATGTGGTACCGATTGCGCCAGACCGCCGACTGATGACGCTAGTCGCGACGTCGTAAGGCCCGTCTACAATACACGGAGTAAGATGTAAGAGTAAGAAATTGACCAATCACAGTCGAATGTAAGAAGAATAATCGATTGTGATTGGTCAATTTCTTACTCTTACTTCTTACTCCGTGTATTGTAGACGGGCCTGTAAACCGTAACAGAATTGGCATCTCTGCTCCAGCATCCCCTTAAGACCTGTCTACAATACACAGAGTAAGAAGTAAGAGTAAGAAATTGACCAATCACAGTCGAATGTGAGAAGAATAATCGACTGTGATTGGTCAATTTCTTACTCTTACTTCTTACTCCGTGTATTGTAGACGACGCCTTAAGGTACAATTTCATGCAGCGAAGCTTCGCTGGCGAAGATCCCCCACTCCGCTGACAACGAAGCCAGCGTTCAACGTTTCGCTAAGCCCTCTTAAAGGTGCAGACACATGGAGCCGTCAAGCGTCAAGCAGCGGAAGCAGCAACCAATCAGCGAAACGATAAGTGCAGTGGCGTAAAAAATATTTTTTACACCACTGCCAGTATCGTCCAGCTGATTGGTTGCTGCTTCTGCTGCTTGACGCTTGACGGCTGCATGCATCTGCACCTTTATCTTTTCATGGAGCGAAGTTTCGCTGGCGAAGCTACTCCTGCTTAGAGTCCTAGATTTATCAGAGAGGCGCAACCGGCTTAAGTCAGTATGACAAAGGTGCTAAGGAGAGTACTAAACATGGCCGACATGCTATGAAACTGCCTTTAAACTATGTCAAACAAGATAAGGGCCTGCGCACAATAGAGGAACAGGAATTAGATATTAAGATTTCAACATATCAGAAACTGATTACATCGGAATACACGATTTCTGATAGGTTGAAATCTTAATATCTAATTCTTGTTCCTCTATTGTGCGCAGGCCCTAAGACGTGTAGGATAATGTAAAATAGAATGTATAGGATAAAATGAAATAGAAATATGTCACTAGTACTATAAATGGCTGCCAAGTCACGCAATTAGTCAGATTGCAACAGCGAATCAGAATGCATAACACCTGTTGCGCCTTTCTGATAAATCTAGGGGTTTGTTCGCGTCGCATGCTCCAATATGTTCCAATATGCTCTTACCATAGCTCCTACTCACTCCAACGCGCTTGATAGAGTGAGTAGGAGCTATGGTAGGAGTATGTTGGAACATGTTGGAGCATGCGACGCGAACAAAATAGGACTCTACTGGAACCCTAATTGGTTTCAGGTGGCGCGGTATGTAGAAGAAACCAGAAACTAGAAGAAGATTCTAGAAACTTTGGGAACCAATTCAGACGAGATCTGGCCGTATTGTCTCCCAACCTTGGAACCATTCAAATAATAAGAAGAAAAAGAAGATATAATCCACCTTAAGAAGACATTGAATATTGCATTATGTACAAAAGGTATTACAATTATCAATATTAAGATTTATTCTTTTTTTGATGAATGAAAGTAAGTTTGTATTAATGTTATTTGTAGCGATGTAATAGCGAATTTTCACAACGAGACAATTGCTTTTTTAAAAACTATTCTAGTGTAATTTTTCATAAAGCTATGTGTGCCTTCCATCAAGCGACAAAAATTAACACGGTGTGACACGATGGATCATTACATCTTTGTTCTTTGTAATGTTAAATAAAAGATGACCGCGTAATCACTGTGTCGCACTGTATCGCTTGTTGGAAGGCACACTATGACTATTTCAAGTTTTGCGTTTACTCAAGAATTTTGAAAATTATTGAAAATGTCAATACCTCGAATTTTAAAAAGAAAATTAAAAAAAATTATTTTCTTTCATGGAATCAAATTACAAAGTATATACTATAATATTCTGCAGGCGATTTTTTTTTTTTTTAATAATTTGATAGCGACTTATAGCTGATTTTATGAAAAACGTTAAAATTGCATATGTAACATATTGTTTAATCCATTGTCGAATTGTCAAATTGAAAATTATCGTAGAATAACGAAACCAGTCCCATTAAAAAGCTGAATATTTCAACTTTTCAACGCGTTTCGGCCAATTTCTGTACGATAATTCGTTCAAAAGTTATATTTTTTGTGCGCGCGTGCGACGCTCCATTTCGCTTGGCATCTTGTCGACGCGCTCCGCAATTTCACTACGCAAAGCGCATCTTGCATAATTTCTTACGTGAAAAGTATTGCTCGTTCGACCAAAACTTATAGAACCTTTTCTGTGTAAAATTTTCCGCTCTTTAATTTTTCTCTCTTATATTTTCTTGATAAAATTTATTTTTATCGAGATCCCAGGTAGTAAAGTTCGTCGTTTTGGCGTCAAATTCAAGTCATGTTAGTACAAATGACATCAAGTGACTAAAAAGTGACCATAGGTTTTATTCGACGTCATTTCGTGACGTCATTATGATGGCATTTCATGACGGCTGATCTCATTTTCGTAACGTCATTCCGTGACGTTATATTGACGTCATAAGTCGCATATTTGGTAGTATAATAGTCCAAGATATAACGTTCACCGATGACGTCAATTGTTTGTGACAGTCGAACGTCAATCTGACTTTATTAAGATATCAGCAATGATTAATAAAGACTCAAAATATGACGTCAAAATGACAAACTATGCTACCTGGGATATTTGTAAAAAACAGTAATTTGAGCTCTATTTGTTTATTTATTTTTCTTAGCGACCACTGTACAATGGTAAACTTTTTGTCTCCTTCGAATAAATCCAAGAATTCATCGAGTTGCAGTTTTTCCGAGCTTCCTGTAAAGTATACTAAGAAGTCTTTGTTATACTGGTCACACATAATAATATTTACTGTTATTTTGTTTAATAAATTTTATATTTTATCTTGCAGGATGAAATAATAATGATCATATTAAGAAACTTAGACTTAAAATCATTATGCCGCGTGAGCAAAGTAAATAAACGGTTCAATAATTTAACACAAGACCATCGGCTTCATACAAGTTTAAACTTAGAACCGTATTATTTGATTATTAATACACAGGCATTGAATTATTTAGCACCTAGATGCAAATATTTACGACGGTTGAATCTTTCATACTGTAATGGTATTTTTTCTGACGATATTGGAAAATTTCTTGTTTCTCATGGTAGTCTCTTAACGCACTTACAATTGAATCACTTAGAGATCTACGATAATACCATACTTGAAATTTCGAGAATATGCAAAAATTTGAAAGGTATGTATACAAATGATTATTATAAGCATGAATAAATTGTATGATCAATACATATATATTTTTCTTAGAATTAGGTCTATTCTATTGTTACGGGATAAATGATGACGGATTCTCATATCTCGAAAATCTGAAGTTCCTGGAGTATTTGAATGTTAACGAGACACATATAACTACCGAAACTCTTTGCAAGATACTGCGAAGAAATACACGGATGCGTCACTTATATATAGGAGGCGAAGACGAAAATCTGAATCCTGATAAAATTGTAATGGAATTGAGAAATTCCTGTCCAGATTTGGAAAGCATAAAGTTACGGTATAATAGAAATGTACATGCACGCTTGAATATTCTTACATCAAAAGGTATTAATGACCTTGCTGGCTGCAAAAATTTACGAGAAATGTATTTGGATTGGTGGTACGTATTGTGTTACACTTTCTTTGAAAATACATGTTCTGCCACACTTTTTATGTATTCCTCATTTGTTTATGGGATGACAAATCAAACCTGAGATTTTACTAACTAATAAGTCTATTGTTCTCATATGGATCTATGCGTCATCCTAGTTTTTTAAAAACAAACACAAATTATCATATTCATGAAAATTTTTATATTTCGCTTGTATCTTGAAATAGCTGTGTTGTCCTGTTTACCATTGAAGAGCCATAATAATATTATTTTTTTTAGTAACTGTTCTGGTGCTAGCTTCTTCAGAGTGTTTTCCTCCTGTCAACACTTGGAAAGAGTCTCCCTGTACTATTGTGAAGGTTTGACTGAACGTGATATAAGAGCACTAGCATTGTGTAAAAATTTAAAAAAGTTAGATTTAACGGGCATACTGAGATGTGTGACATCTGAGATATGTCACACAATTTTCATGAATTGTCATAAATTGGAGATGATTAATCTCCGCTATAGTAACATTGCCAAATGCTTGATTCTGCAGTGGCAGCAAAAATACACGCACATAACCATTACAGCATGAAAATGTCTGACAAGTAAATCTACGGAGGTGTCACTCACTGATTTTAATGAAACTGCATATTTATAGAACTTTGAAAAATATTTGACACGTATATCTTTTTATCTGCAATGGTCCACTCTGAAGGGTGAAAACTACCCCTAGAAAGGTAAAATAAGTTGAAAATTTTAAAAAGTAAAATGTGTTAGGAGGTTTTTGGGATCACTGAAACTGAATCTCATGTCAAAAGTATAAACTGTAAAATGGCTGACCCAATATGGCGTCCAGAGATACATTGAAATTTTTATTAGTTTTTATCAAAGTGAGTAAATTTTAAGAATTCTTGTCATCACAGAATTAAAATTTCCGATTTTTGGATCGATTATTTTAAATATGGTATTAAAGATTTAAAATTCAAAATGGCGGTCTCAATATGGCAGCTATATACGTTAAAATTTATAATTTTTGCAAAAAATGTATTGATACAAGGTTCTTACCTTTCAAGGTGCTTTTTTACAGTGAGTCCCCTTGCCTCTCACCTTTCGGGGTACAATTTTTTTTCAAACTTTGTTGAAAAAACCTAAACATCAGACCGCTCCTATCTACAATGTACGTATGTGTCTGTGAAAACGGAAAACGTTTGTGTACGCCCGCCGCGTTTACTCATGATCGCACGTGGCACGTAGAGAAAACTTCAAATTTCATATTTTTGACATAAGATTTAGTTTCAGCGACCCTAAAAACCCCTTAACCCATTTTACTTTTTAAAATTTTTTAACTTTTTTTTATTTCATATACGAAATAGGTATTTGGACGCCATATTGGATCGGCCATTTTGAATTTCATACTTTTGACATAAGATTCAGTTTCAGCGACCCCAAAAACCTCCAAACACATTTTACTTTTTAAAATTTTCAACTTATTTCACCTAATATGTTACATCTATCCCTTACCTTTAAGGGATAGTTTTCACCCCTCAGAGTGGACCATTGTAGATAAAAAAAAACACATGTCAAATATTTTTCAAAGTTTTACAAATATAGGGATAGAAGAGAAAATGATAGAAAGGGAGAATAGAGTAAAGGAATGGATAGAGAAGGCAGAGGGAAAGTTTAGGGAGAGAGAGGAAGAAGGTAGAGGGATAAAGGAAAGGTTAGATGAGATAGAGAGGAAGATGGGACAAGGTTACTAAGTGAGGGAGAGGAGGGGGAAAAGGGAGGAGTGTATATGATAGGGGGGAGAATGTATATAGTAGAACAGGGAGCGTATGCAGTGGAAGATGGTCGGAAGGAAGCATAGATAGGTTAAGTGGGGAAAAGATAGGGGCAATAAGAAAGCTGATGGGGGAGAAAGAGCGTGAAGAAAGGAAGTGTAATATTGTAATCAAGGGGTTTGACTGGGAAGGAAATAAAGAAATAGAAAAGGGTAAAGAGAAAGGGCGGAGAAATTTATAAAGGAGAAATTAGGAGTGGATACAGAGGTAATCAGCTGGAGGATGAGTGGTCCGGTGGCGATTATTAGAGTAGGTAATGAAGACATGAAAAGAGAGGTGATGAAAAACAAAAACAAATTAAGGGGAGGAAGAGTTTTCTTTGAGAATGATCTAAGTTTTGAGGAGAGAGGAGGACACAGGTGTTGATAAATAAATGGGGAAAAACCATCGACATCTAGAATGGACCGCTGATGGCAATGGTGGGGGTAGAAAGACGATTAGAGTGAGAGGCAGG